AGAATAGGCCTGGAAAAATTTATAAAAATTCGAACAGACCCGAAGGTCGGGTGAACAGTAAATCGGGCAGTTTTATTTCGGTCCAAAGATGGACTTCCGAATGGCATCAAATGATTTCCAAAAATTCCCAAATAAAAATATGTTATACTTCAAGATGTTGGGAGAAACTTTCATGAAGAAAACTTCCTCAAATTCGGCCCAAAAAATTTTCTACGAAAATAGCAGACCGAGCGGGTACAGTAACCGCGAATCCGCGATTCACCCCGAACCTCACGGATTCAAGCCCGAACCGATTTCTACCGAATTCCAACCGCCAAAACTCATTTCCCGACGTCTAATCCAACCCGCAACAACCACTAACAGTCATACTCAGCCACCAATAGCCATGATTAACCACCAATAACCATGATCAACACCTTAATCAACCTCTAATCACCCCAAACCGCACCCAAACGAGTCCGAAAAATACCCGACGTCCTAGGCGAGGTTTAGGGAGCGACTTACCCGAACTCTAGACTAACTCGGCTAGAGCGGCAAGGGGGAACGGCTGGCCGGCGGCGATCGGCGGTGGCGGCTTGCTCCGGCGATGCTCCGGCGATGATCGGCGGTCCAAGGCCGAGAGAGAGATGAGAGGATTTTTGGTGAGGGAGAGAGGGAGAGAGTTCTCTGTTGGGGGAGGGGCTGCCGAGAGAAGAGAGGGAATGAGGAGAGAGAGAGAGGAGAGAAACAATTAAATATTTGGTCCAAGGTTTGACCAATTTTTTCTTAATTCCAATTTTGCCCCTAAAACACTTGGTCCACATTCTTCCAAACCAAAATATCTAAGGGCGTTTTTGTCCAATATTTTGGGGCTGATATTTATCCACACTTAATCCCCAAATTCAATTTCCAAAATCCCCAAAATTCGGAATACCCAAAAATAAGCCTAGGGGCAAAATCGTAATTTTCCGGTCCCGGGGCGAAATTCCAATTTTCGCACATACGTGTTCCATATGTGCGTGGCCAACATAATACGGCGTCAGAATCGCGAAATTCACTTTCTAAGTCCTCGAAAATCGACTGCGAAGTTCCGGGAATAAAATAATATTATTTTTCACTTCCGAGCCAAAATTCCAATTTTTGACCGAAACAACTCTGAATGTGCGTGGCCACCCCAAAATGACACTAGCCTCGAAAAATAACCTCAAACGGCCTCCGAATCCAATCTCGGTGCCCACAGGGGCAAAATCGTAATTTTCCCGGTCCCGAACCGAAATCCATTTTTTTTTGCAGAAATGGTTGGCCCCAAGGTTGGCCAAGCCAAAAACGTCATCGGCCGTCCAAAATTGTCACTTTCAAAATTCTCGATTCCCGAGCCCGAATTCCAAGAAATGACTAAAATCGAGCAATCGCAACTTTAGCTTATCTCTGGCTAACGGGTGGCTCTCTGGAATTACGCGCTCTCGACCCGTGACCGACACTAAGTCAAATCACGTTTAAGTTTACTCCACCCGGGACGACCTCGGTTGTCATATAATTGCGAGGGTCTGTCGCTAGTTCCCTTCGGACACGATCAATCAAGTAGACCGGTCTCGGTTGGCTCAAAACATTCCCTCGTCAATCCATATGGTTGAAGATCGAACTCAGGTCGAGTTCTTTGGTCGTGCGAAGTCAATCCCGTAATAGCCCTACCCCTAAGGTTAGCATCCCGTGAATGCGCATTTCCGGGTGAGATCTCACTATAAGTGCATTGATCAAATTCATTTCCTAAATCCCGAGAAAAGGATCGAAAATTCAGACTGTTACAATTCTTCCCCCCTAATAAAAATTTCGTCCTCGAAATTTACAACTATACCTGCTATCCAAACAGGTGGGGGTGATGACGTCTCATTATTCCTTTCTCCCAAATGGTACCTTCTGTCCCGTAATAATCTCAAACGTCTTTGATCAATGGGACCGTCTTATTCCTTAAAACTTGTTCCTTCCCATTTGCCCCTAAAATCCAATATACATATTCCCAACATATCCTCTACAGTCCGTATAGTCCTTCCAAACTGGTCATCCAATAAGATCTCTTACTTAAATCATGTCAACAGCGCAACTATCGAGGTTCCTTCTCGACTCCTTACAATCTCAAATCTAAGGTGTCCAGCCAGACTAAACTGAATCACCCTAATGCTGCAATCCATTACAGCATTCTGTTTAACTAACCAATCCAAGCCCACGATCAAACCGAAATCACACATAATTAACACAGCCTATCTCGTTCTCTACACCACCAAACACCACTTCACAGTCTGAACATCCCAACAACATGCACATCTTATCCATCATATTCCCAATCCTCTTTAATACTCTGAGGACTTCTTCCATACGCAGATCTTTCGCAGGTCTAACACCAGCTCGGGGGTCCACTACAGCTCCTACACCAACTCCAGGGTTTTCTTTTACCATTCTAGCACCCATATCAATGTCCTCTACAGCTCTAGCTCGAGCACGACCTCGACCCCGTACTCCTCTTCCTGCACCCCTTCCCCGGCTGCTCATCGTCCCAGACTTTCTATCACTCTC